TCCGGTGGCTCCCACCTGTCATCCCAGCCACTCAGGAGGCTGAGATCGGAGGATCGCGGTTCAAAGCCAGCCCGGGCAGGAAAGCCCAGGAGACTCTGATCTCCCATGAACCACCAGAAAACCGGAAGTGGCGCTGTGGCTCAAGGGTAGAGCACCAGCCTTGAGGTGAAGAGCTGAGGGACAGCGCCCAGGCCGTGAGTTCAAGACCCAGGATTGGCACAAAAACTAGGGAGAGGCCAGGGAGGTCGAGGACAGGAGAGAAAGGGGCTCCCTTCACCCCAACCCTGGGCTGAGCGTGCTGTGCACCGACCTGAGTTTTGGTGTGTGTGTGTGTGTGTGTGTGTGTGTGCACAGTTCTGCTTCTGTTCCTCATGGAGCTCTGAATCCGAGGGGATTTCTTTCCACCTTAGACTAGCTGTGGTGTTTTGGGGTTCGGGGGGCTGGGGCGTAGCTGTCAGAGCTAACTGAGGGGGGCCCCTGGGGCCTTCCACACGCTGGTCCCATCAAAGAGCCGGCACGGAGTCTCACACCGGTTTGCCTCTGTTTCCCTGAGTGGGTGGCTCCCACCCCCACTGGGGCCCAGGGTTACCTCAGCTCACCTCCTGCCAGAACTGGGGGCTGGGGTCTGGGGGGGTGCCGCCGAGGGGGGCAGCAAAGCAAGGAGGCAGACAGAAGCTCCCGGGGCGCTGTGAGAATAAAAGCAACCACACTGAAGCTCACGCTGCTCCTGCAGACATGCTTGGTGCTTGTACTCAGTACTCCCCAGGTACTCAGTACTCCCCAGGTACTCAGTACTCCCCAGGTACTCAGTACTCCTCAGGTACTCAGTACTCCTCAGGTACTCAGTACTCCTCAGGTACTTAGTGCTTTGGGGATGCGAGGTGGGGGCTGTGTAGCTCAAGAGGTAGAGATCTCGTCTCCTTTCGGTTCTGTGGCTGCTGGGGTTGGAATTTCACGAGGGCTTCACTCTTGGTGCTTGCAGGGTGCTCTGCTCCTTGAGCTGCGGCACCAGTCCAGCTTTTTGTTGGTTATTTGGGAGTCTTGGGTCTTTCAGCCTGGGCTGGTTTCGAACCTGGATTCTCCAGATCTCAGTTGCCTGAGTAGCTCGGATGACAGGCGTGGGTTGCTGTGTGCCTGACTGGGTGGAAATCTTACGTAGCATGTGCAGGGTTCAGAGTTCAGTTGAGGGAAAGAAAGAAGGAAGGGAGGGAGGGAGGGAGGGAGGAAGGGGAGGAAGGAAGAAAGGAAAAGAAAATGAAAGAAAGGAAAGAAGGAGCAAGAGAAAGGAAGGAAGGAAGGAGGGAAGGAAGGAAGGAGCGAGAGGAAGGAAGGAAGGAGGGAAGGAAAAAAGGAAGGAGGGAAGGAAGGACACAAGGAATGAAGGAGGGAAGGAAAGAAGAAAGGAAGGAAAGAAGGAAGGAAGAGAGGGAGGGAAGGATTGTGGGAGGGAGGGAGGGAAGGAAGGAAAAGAAAAAGAATGAAAGAAAGGAAAGAAGGAGCAAGAGAGGAAGGGAAGGAGGGAAGGAAGGACACAAAGAAGGAAGGAGGAGGGAGGGAAGGAAGGGAGGAAGGGGGGAGGAAGAGAGGGAGGGAGGGAGGGAGGGAGGGAGGGAGGGACATCATAATTTCCGCAGCTTCCTCTTAAGCTAGCCCAGAAATAGAAATGCGCCACGTCGCCGGCGCGTGTCTGTGTCTGCGTCACCCCGATCAGTGCACGTGGCTGAGGGGGACCCCACCCCCTTCCCCAGCCCCCCCCCGGCGCCTCCAGCCGCCCTCGCGCCCACGGCCGGTGACCTCCCTCTCCCCCACTCCTTGCAGACGTACGAGATCAAAGCCGGGGGTCGCATCACCAAGAAGTTCAACGCCATCCTGCAGCAGCTCAGCTCCCCGCTGCAGCCCCGGGTCCCCACACACAGCCACAGCAGGATGAAGAACCTCTCCTACCCCTTCTCCAGGGAGAAGATGTACCTGTGAGTGCACGCACGCACACGCGTGTGCGCACCTGGGCGAGGAACCCCAGACACCATCCACCCAACCAGCGCCCTCCCCCCAAACCCCAGGTCCCGTCTGAGCCCCCAAAAGATCCCAGCTGTCTCTGGGTCTTTGATTTCCTCCTGTCCCAGTGGCATTGTCTCCCACAGCCCTGTGCGTGTGTGTGTGTGTGCGTGTGTGTGTGTGTGTGCGTGTGTGTGCATGTGTGTGTGTGCGTGTGTGTGTGTGCGTGTG